CGAAACCGAAACCGATGTTCCTGTGGGGGGCTCTCCGTCTCACTGCGATCTCATCTCCAAGCCTCCAATATGTAGAGGTAATGTAGTGGTCTCATTTTGCATTGATATATGCGCGGAGGTCGAGAAACTATTATTTGTTAGTTGTATATATATGGGGTTGTAAACATTTGTAGTTGTGGGTATGCGTAGCTGTATGAATATGCAAACACATGGAACTCAATTCCAGAGGAGAAGCATTTGTATACGCCATGTAGAAGAGAGGTAGGAGCAACGGTAGACTTCGACGTCGATGTCCAAGTGATAGTCGTCTTCGTTGTTCTGAAACGGCAAGTTGTCGTTTTCCTTGCCGTATTGGTTTAGGGTTCATGGTTGTAGTAGTCGGCGTCTTCGGCGTATCTTGTAGCAGACGTTGACTTGTGAACTTGTGTCGTAGGAGCAACAGCCGCACGGGCAGGTACAGGAGCGCGATCATGTGCGAAGGCAGGTTCAGGATTAGTAGAGGAGCACGAGAGGGAGTCCACGCAGGGTGCGGCGAAGCAGGCAGGGAAGGAGGGGCAAGAATCCAAGGAATGTTTCAATGTGCGCTGAAGCGTGATATGTGACATGTTCCAGCTTTATGGCATGCATTACTCTGCAGGGTACCCTGTCATAGCAAGTGCCCCCCCCCCCCCTGTGGCGTTCAGGTGTTTGCAGTTCGTTCTTCTGTGGTGCATCAAACTGCCACTACATGGTTTTGTAGACCATGGCGCAGGGCACGTCGGTTTTTTGTGTGAACTGGCAATGTGTGAGACTTGCTTCTCTGACTGAGGCGCAGTCTACCTTAGCCCGTCCTCCTCCCTCCCTAACCCCTTTTCCCCGGTGCTCGTCTAGTGCAGCTCTCCTTCACTCTTCCTCCACTGTTCTCGCGGCCCCTCCACTCCTCCGCCCTCTTCCTCGCTTCTGTATCCTTCCTCCTCCGCACAGGGACAAGAGCGCGGGATACGACAGTCATTCGGCGGCGAGCGAGGGTTGGAAGTGAGAAGGAGAAGGCCTTCTCAGAAGGCGGCGTGGCTTCTCAGAAGCCCCCCCCCGGCCTTCTGAGAAGTTGACTGCGTCATCAAAGAAGGCTTAGACACTTCCCGGAAGGCCAAGGGATTTCGGAACCTTCTGATGAGGCCCTCTCGTTCTCACTTCCACCCGGCCTCGCCGCCGAATCCTTCCTCCTCCGCGCACGGACAAGCACGCGGGATGCGACAGCCATGGAGACGGGAGCGTTGGTGTCGACGCCGTAGAGGACACGAGGTTGTCCAGGGTCGGAGGCCGCAAGCCTGCGGTAACAAGAATGCTGTGGGTGCGCCAGCGTCGACCTCCTTCAGCATGCTCGCCAGCGACGGGGACACCAGAAGAAGCACGGCTCCGTGCACAGCTGCGCGAACAGCGGTGATTTGAGACATACCGCGGTGGCTTGAATCTTATCTCGTTCCTCTCCTTTCCGTTTCTCCTCTGTCCGTTTTTTTGTTTCTCTTTATTGTTTACCCGCCCTCCTATCTCTTCCTGTGTTTTTTTTTGTCCACGCCCCCCTCCTCCCTTCTCCTTCCTTCTTCCTCCTCCCTGGTTCATCCTGCTTCTCCGGCTTCTCCTCCTCCTCCATTCCCCTTTTCCAGCATACTCTCTTACCCCCCCTCAGCTCTTCCTTCTTTTTCCTTATCGTCCTCTCTCTCTCTCACCACCCTCTCTCATCACCCTTTCTCATCATTCCTCCCTCTTCGCTTCCCCCTCTCTCATCATCCCCCTTCCTGTTCGCTTTCCCCCTCTCCCCCCTCCCCCCCCCCCCTCTTTCATCATGCCCCTCCCCCCTCTTCGCTTTCTTCCTCCCTTCTCGCCGCTTCTCCCGCCTTTCTCATCATGATCCCGTCCCCCGTCTCCTTCCTCACCCTCTTCCGCTGCTGCTGCGGCTCCTGCTCTCCCCTTCCGCCGAGGGGGGAGGGGAGGAGCGGAGAGAGGAAGGAGGGGAAGGAGGCGAAGGAGAGGAAGGAGGAAGGGTGAGGAGACGTAGGAGGTGCAGCAGGACCCGGAGGAGGAGAACGAGGCGCCCTCTCCGTCATTCTCGCCCCTTCCCGCCGTGTCCGTCCGCCCCCGCCCCCTCCCTTCGCCGCGCGCAGTCGCTTCTGAGAATAGCGCGACTCATGCGGCTGACGAGGAGACCGGGCCGGGGCGTAAGTTCGGGTCCCGCCGCGGGGATGGAGGAGCGTTGCAGCTGCATAGGAGGGAGAGGGGGACGCAGGAACACGAGGATCAGGGACGGAAGGAGGACGTCTACGCATGCGCACTTGCAGATGCTTGAGAAATCACACCCGGGAGCACGCGTGGCATGGGGAATGCATCGTGTATTGGCGTCGCAGTTCTCGCCGCTCGGCTCGGTCTTTGAAACAGTTTGGGCTGAAAGACCGCAAACGCCACGTTTGCTTAAGGTGCGCTCGTGTGCTCGGGATTGTACGCGATGCGAGTCCGAGGTTCTAGAAGCGCGCTATCACCAAATTTCTTGGTCCTTCTGGGCCATTGTAGTTCGGTTCCTACAAAGCCTCATATGTGTCTGGAAGCCTCCATCCCATGGTCGTTATCTTGCTTATTCGCTGGCACAGCTTATTGACCCGCCCAGTTATTGGTAACTGTTGAATTCGAATTAATTTCTTCGCTCTTTAGCACCATCGCTTTGTCCTCAGCTTATACCCAGCTGCCTGCAGCAAGTCCCGCCACCGTGCCAGCCCAGCATTCTGGGTGAGGACTGTTCGAGAGGGCACGGGGGGCTTTCACGTGTGACACCTCGTGTTCCCAAGTTCTGCAGAGCCGTGATGAGGAGGATGAGGGATATGAGGATGACGACGACGACGACGACGACGACGGCGGCGATGATGATGATGATGATGATGATGATGATGATGATGATGATGATGATGATGATGATGATGGTGATGGTGATGGTGATGGTGATGTTGATGATGATGATGATGATGATGTTGATGACGACGATGATGATGCTGATGACGATTATGATGATGGTGGTGCTGATAACGATGACGATAATGACGATGATGATAAGGATGATGATAATGATGCTGCTAGTGATGTTGATGCTGCTGCTGATGGTGATGATACGATTGATGATGACACTGGTGATGGCGAAGCCGGCGATGACGACGACGATGACGATGGCGTTGATTATGATGATGGTGGTGATGATGATGATGATGATGATGATGGTGATGCTGCTGGTGATGATGATGCTGATCATGATACTGATGTTGTTGATTATGATGCTGATGATGATGCTGTTGCTGCTGCTGCTGATGATGATGATGATGCTGATGCTGATGCTGATGCTGATGATGATGATGATGATGCTGATGATGATGCTGATGATGATGATGATGATGATGATGATGATGATGATGATGATGATGATGATGATGATGATGATGATGATGATGATGATGATGATGGGGAGCATGACGAAGAGCAGGAGGAGGAAGAGGACGGCCGTCATATGTGACACCTGTCGTCTTCACTGTTTGAGGAGCTCTCCTGGAGCTCGTTTGGGCCGTCTTGAGGATGTCTTTGCCTCATGTGAGGCAGTCTTGGGGGTCCTTTGGGGCCCTCTTGGGCCGTCTTGGTGCCCTCCTACGCCGTCTAGGGGCTCTCTTGGGCCGTCTTGGGGCCCTCTTGGCCGCACAGCGGGTGTCTGCGGGCCGTGGGTGGGTCAGTTTTGGCGCCGTCTTGGGCCGTCGAAGGGCATTTCAGGCCGTCTTGGGTTCCACGGGAGGCTGTCTTGGGCGTTTTCGGGGCCGTCTCTGGGATGACTCCTGGGCCATCGTGGAGTCTTTTTGGGCCATCTTTGGGGCCTCTTGGATTGTCTTGGGGCCATTGTGAAAGCTTCTTCGGCAGTCTTGAGCTGACGGCAGACCGAAACAGCGAGAATTCGAAACTCACTAAACAATCTAAGGGGATCAAGTCTTCAGACCCTGTTTGGTACCTCTTATGGCACGTTTGGGCCGTTTTGGATGCATGTTGGGCCGTCTTGTAGGCTTGGGAATGCGGGAAGTGCACGATCCTAGAGCGGGTGCGCGTGGGATGAGGAGTCTAGGAGTTAGCAGCTATGCGGGCAGTGCGCAATCCTCGCGCGGGCGCGCATGGAGAGAAGGTTCAGGCATCAGTTGCCAGTCGGGAAATGCACCATCCTCGAGCGGGCACGCGCGAAGTGGGGGGTTAGGCAGTTGCTGTCGTGCTGGACGTGCACCACCCTCGAGCGGGCACGAGGGATGTGGCCTCGGAAAATAGGGGCGGTGTACGCAGCAGTCTGCAAGCAGGAGGATGGCCCTCTTAGAAGTGAAAGGGAGCCTGCCAGGCAGACGTTGGCATTCTTCCAGGCCTCAACTTGCACACAGCACGGTGGTGGGCTTTGCTTTCCCTTCTCCTGGGCGGAACGTTCGGACGACGCGCGGTGAGGAGGCGCGTGGGAGGAAATGCCTGTGACGATAATTCACCAGTTGAACTTAGGTTTGCCAGCCCGCCCGCGCGTACCCTGAGCAGGGGGGAGGAGTAGGCGGTGGAGGATAGGGGATAAATCCGGCTCCGTAGCCATGTGGCGCAAGTCAGCAGGCACTGCTCGAGGATTTGTATATTGTTGGGGGGGGTCTTACGGTCTCCACAGTCTCCCTGACGTTCGCCCGCCAGGTGTTCACATCACGCTCCGTGTATGGTACGCCCTCGTTCACTTTCACTTCGTCGGGTGGCCCGTGCTCCTGCCCTCCTCGTATCAGCCTTGGATTTCCGCGCCCCCCGCGGCCGAGCACACACAGCATCGTCTGCCAACAGGCGCGACTGGCCAGCCATTCAGCCAGTTGGCCAGATTGCGTTCCGATGTTGTATGTATGTATGTATGTATGTATGTATGTATGTATGTATGTATGTATGTATATGTATACACATATATATACATATTGATTGTATATATATATATATAGTGATGTGTATGATGCTTACACGAACGGATGAAGATGGGGGTTGGGTCACGAAATGCTGCCGCATGTCTGCTGGCGCTCTGGCTCTCGCTCCTGCTGCACGTCGATGGTCATCGCGCTCTGGCCCCCTGGACATTTTCCGGCTCGGGAACGGAGGCAACGGCAAGGGCGGCGGCGAGGGCGTCAAGTTCGGAGGCAAGGGCGAGAACTTCGGAGGCAAAGGCAAGTGCGCAGGTAACGTGTGCAAGTGGCCAAACTGGTATCGTCACAGCTTGTATGATCAAGGTGGAGGGTTTCCAGGCGCTTCTCAATCGAGTTCTGTGGCTGCAGGGAGTGCCCCGGCGCCCCCCGCAAGACCAACCCCAGATCTCAGCACTGTCGAGGCTAAGCATACCCCAGCTCTTTCAAGGCGGGGGAACAGGTTCGCGGAAAGTATTGACATCACGCATCACATGGAGGCCGCCAACAGCCTTGTCGAGATCAATGCGCAGCAGCAGCAGGTGCAGAAACACGACGTTGTTGCCAGAAAGCACGGGTAAGCAGCTCGAGTCTCAGCTTGCGCGCTTCGTCAAGTGCCGAGCTGGACGAAAGAGTCAATGAGCCACGGTAGCTGCTTAACTGGGCGGGTGTTGACGACAAAGCTGCCGTGGACAAGCTTCGCAATACCAGTGAAAGAGGAGGCGCAGGGGCTCCAATGATCCTAGGAAGTTGCGAGGCCAGCAGTCAAGATGGCTGACATCCTTGAAGGTTAACCTGGCATTGCGAGCCTAATCAAGATCGACGTCTTCGATGCGATGACTTTGAGCGCGCAGGGTTCGAGGTTTCGGAGTCGACTGGCAGGAGCTGGCGAACCGCGGGAAACCTTTTTGCAGACATGTGCACAGGACATGCCCACGTCGCTGTGTGAGCAGGCGACAGTTGCAGCTCAAGAGGCGAAACAAGCTCGCAAAGCACGCCGAGCTCGCCTCGTTCGGAAACGTCGGGAGGAGAATGGGGGACAAGCTGCGCCACGTGAAGGGCCCGAAGCTGCTGAGTCGGGAGGGCGAGTGCTGCGCCATCTGAGCCGCAGGCGGCTGCCCCAGCAGCTGCCGCGGCGCCTGAGCCTGCGCCCGCTGCTGCTGGCGACGTCCGCTCGAGAGTGGACCTACATTCGCCAGGCCCCCCTCCCCCCCCCCCTCGCGAGGAGGGTGGGGGGGGTTGGAGGGGCCGGCAGCGGCCGGGGCATCGTGACATCTGCGCTGGCTTTCTTCCCCGCCGATCTAACCTCGCCAATGGTTTCGACGTCGCGCAGGGCCGGCTTGCGTCTAGCCGAGCAGATGAGACCCCCAGCCCAGGGCGCTGCCCCCTGTTTTTTGCTGGCCCGTTTCCCGGGGATGTGCCCCTTGGGGCCGACGCAGTCAGGGCCCTCTTCTCATTCCTCCCCTTGGCCTGGCAGTTCAGACGAGTAGCGCGGGTAGCGCTACAGGCGCGCCTGCAGCAGTTGCGCGCTCGCCCCAATCCGATGCCGAAGATCGCCACCCGCGCGTCATTTCCCCCCTTGGGTCTGGTGCATGTTTGTGGGCCAAGTGCGGTCAGGGCCTGCAGTTGCGGCTGGTCAGCCCCCGCCCATGCGCATCCGCGCTCGTCCGGAGATGCCGAGTCCGCGGCGGTGGGGTGGAGGAAGGTTCGCATGCCCTCACGATCAACGGCGGCAGTTGGGGACAGAGTATCGCCTTCGAGGGGGCGACGAAATCGACGGGGCTTCGAACGGGGCCAAGTTCTCGGGAGGGAAATCTGTGGGCAGCAGGCAACGTCGGAGATGGATAGGGGGGCGTCGTCGGCGGCCCGCGCGCGCGAAAAGGCTGCGCTAAGCTTTTTTCACCGACACTGGCGAGCATGCGCTGCGAGCCTCCTCGCCTGCGGGCGCGAAGATGCAACCTCGACTGAAGACGAGCCGGGCGAGGTCCCCACCTGGAGACGAACATGACAAATGGAGTGGAGGTGCACGCCGCGACTTAGCCCAAACAAGTGCGGCGCTGCGGATGTCAAGAATTCGGCCGTAATGTCCAGTCGGGCTGGCCGAAACAACGGACCGTGAGCTAGTTGGGCATGCCATGCATAGCCTTCGCCCACAGTCCTAGCAGAATTCCCTTGATATCGCCTAACAGCGCGCGGCCTGTAATCCCATAGTTCCTGCCCTGTTTGTTGAGTCGGTCTGGCCGAAACAACGGGCCGCAGGCTAGTTGGGTATGCGGTACATAGGCTTAGCCAAGGACAATGTGGAGGAGGTGGAGGACAAGGTGGAAGACGATAGTTAGGTATGCGGTACAGGACAAGGAGGAGGATGAGAAGAAGAAGGACATGGAGGGGGAAATGGAGGAGGAGGAGGCGGAGGAGGAGGAGGAGGCGTCTTGACGATCCGGAGTCGCGCCAGGGAAAAAAATGCCGATATCGACGCCGCGAATCAACATATCTGTTGCGCCCGCATAATCCGGAATCCTTCCCCAAAAAACAGCTTCTGGTTCGTTGATCCTGTGCATCCGTGAAACCCGTCCACATGTTTGAAACGAATGTGCGCGGCGCTAAGGCGAGATCCACATTTTGAAAAGAAGCCGCCCTCAACCCGTGAAGTTTTCGCAATGTTTAAACGGATGCGCCCGGCGCTAAGGCGAGAACCACATTTTGAAAACCACCCGCCCTCACCCCGTGAAGCTCTTGCAAATTGTTAGAACGAATGTGCGCGGCGCTAAGACGAGAGCGACATATTGAAAACGACCCGCCTTCCATCAGTGAAACTCTTTTAATTGTTTAAACAAATGTGCGCGGCGCTAAGGCGAGAGCCACATTTTGAAAACGACCCGACCTCAATCCGCGAAGTTCTTGCAATTTTTCAAACGAATGTGCGCGGCGCTACGGCGAGAGCCACATTTTGAAAACCATCCGCCCTCACTCCGTGAAGCTCTTGCAAATTGTTAGAACGAATGTGTGCGGCGCTACGGCGAGAGGCTTATTTTGAAAACCATCCGCCCTCCATCTGTGAAAGTGTTGCCACGTTTTCAGCTTTCATATACGATGAGGAAGTCTCAGGCGAAACGCCCGGCCCGCCCTAAAAACTGACCTCGGGGTGCGACAGGGAGAAGTTGTTTATGAGGGAAGGAAATGGAGGAGGAAAGAAGGAGGCGGGGGAGGAGGAGGAGGAGGAGGAGGAAGAGAAGGAGAAGGAGAAGGAGAAAAACGAGGAGAGGGGGGAGGCAGGGGGGTGCCGGTTGGGGCGGGAGTGCGCCGCATCCTCTCTCCAAGACCTCGCCCCGTGAGCAGGATGCTGCGGATGGGCAGGCTGCTGCGGGCCGTCCCGGAGCTGCTGATCCAGCTGAAGGCTGCCCCAGGGAGGGAGGGACCTTGACCTATCGGGGGCCTTGAGTCGGGGGTCAATGCAAATGGGGGTCAGCCAGAGCGCCCGATCTTGCTTGATCCTGCAGGGCCAGGGTCGCATTGACCTGGGCTTGGGTGCAGGATCCTGCATGATCTTGCAGGATCCTTCGCGTTGACCCTGGTTTGGGCTCAAGATCTTGCAGGCCTGACTTACCCTGGTCTGGATTGACCCAGGTCATACGATCCCCGAACCTCCAGCCTAAAAGCAGTCATCTAGATGTCCTAGATGGGGTCGGAGTAGACGGGATCGGAGAATCGCGCCGCATCGCCAATGTATCGACGATGCGGCTCGATGCGGAGTCCGCCTTTCTCCACGCCGACGTCGCCAATGCGTCGCCGACGTCGCCGATGCATCGACGATGCATCATCGATGCATCGGCGATGCATCGTCGATGCATCGGCGATGCGGCGCGATCCTCCGACTCCATCTACTCCAGATTTCGTAATAAAGGGAGGGAGGTCTCATTTCGGGGGGGGGTCTCTTCCAGGCTATCTTGGAGGGCCTGGGGGGTCTGGGGACGATGTTCTGGAGGGTTCTCCCACGGGGGAGGTCTGAAATGGCTTGTCTTGGAGGGTCCAGACCCCCTCCCTTTTATTACGAAATCTGGAGTTCTCCCCGACCACACCTAGGAGGCCTCGAAGTCAAAACGTGTAGTAAGGACGGGTGGTAAGGACGCAGGGCCCCTTGGAGGCCGCAGCTGGGGTTTGCTGGGCGGCGGGCGGCCAGAGCCCAGGGAAAAAGAACGGCAGAGGACGGGCCGCGGAGGCAGGGACGCAATGGGCACCCTAGATTTCTGGGAGTCGATGAATGGAGAGGGCGCATGCTGCCAAATCATTTCCAGATGTCTAGAAGATGCTTCAAACATGTTCTGAATATGTAAAAAACATGTTTGAAACATGTTCAGAACATGTTTTACACATGTTTAACACACCTTCAGTTCAATGACAGGATTGTGAGAGCGTCTATTGCCATGGCGTCCACAACCCCAGAGGAAGCCGCGCGTCCCCACTGGGCGCGTGGGAGGAGGAGGAGGAGGAGGAGGAGGAGGAGGAGGAGGAGGAGGAGGAGGAGGAGGAGAGGAGGAGGAGGAGGAGGAGGGAGGAGGAGGAGGAGGAGGAGGAAGGCGCGCGTCCCCACTGGGCGCGTGGACGGTACAGCCAGCCGCCCACCCGCTTTTTTCCACGCCGGGCGGGCCTCGGCGGGCCTGTCTCTCGGACGTCGGGGCCGGCAGGGATCGGCACGGGGCACGGGGCGGAGGCCAGCCCAGGGAGGGCGTCGAGATTTTGGGGCGTGCGCCCACGAATCGACGAGCGCGCTGAACTGCTCGCAGAGTAGCTGCTCGCAAATGGCCTGGATCCCCCTGCGGGGGATCTGCGATAGATTGCATCAAGTCAGACAGGTGTTTGTCGGACGTTTGCGAGTGGGCACTTTGCGAGTAGTGGAACGCGCTCGGCGAACGAAGTAAGTCCTGACGCACGAGGTCTGAGGAGGCAGAGAGGACAGGACGGAAGAGGGAGGATCAGGATCAGGATCAAGCTCATGGAGTTCTGAGCATCACAGCCGCCAAACGGGACGTCTGCTGCCGACCATTCGGGAACTCTGAGGGGTCCGAATTAGACCAGATGCACTGCTACAAGCCAGCGCTCTCGGCTCGAGGCCGCACTGCCCCCAACAAGGGCACCCCAGGGGAACATCAGGGGCCCTCCGAGGGACCAGGGCCACGGGCTCTTCCCCGACCCCGAACTCTCTCACTCCTTTGCAAGATGACGGTGGGCGCCTCTCGCTCCCACCCGTCGCTACTCCCCTCAGAGCTCTGAAACCTTAACAAACAAATCTCAGGCAGACGTCCCGAATTCATCAACTCCTGAAGTCTAGAACTTGATGCCAACATAGGGGGGGAGATTCCCCACACCCCGTCCACCATGCGTCGAGCCAACATTCACTCTACCCCTCCCCCCCGCAGCGGCAGCAGCAGGCCTCCCCCCCCACCCCATCCCTCTCCCCAAAAAAACTTGCCTCGGAGGTGTCCCACTCATCCTCACGACGTCGTCGCGGCGAGGAGGCGAGCCTTCCCGCTCGATCGGATCCCGCGGCGCGGAGCCTGCCTTCCTCACCGCCTTCATCCTC